GGTTGAGTAAACCCCAAACCCTAAACCCTAAAACCTAAACCCTTAATCCCTAAACCTTACTAAACCCTAAACCCTCCTTCTCTGATTCTTTTCGGCATCCTCATCAGTGGCCTCGGTAGGAACTCTACAGGACCTCTTGGGCTCAGGTACAGAAGGCAAATTTGGTCGTGGTGTTGCTGAAAGCATGTTGGGTTTAGGGTTTACGGTTTAGGGTTTAGGGTTTAGCGTTTAGCGAGCTGTTGCCCATGACATGAGGATCGGGCGTTCTCAGGATGTTCGGTTTTCGATAGTTCGCCGCTTGTAGGTAGAACGCTCGCAAATTGGGCGCCCGGTGTCCCAAGCCTTCTGCGAACTTACGAAGCTTGTTGTTTTTCATTGCGGCTTCAACTCCGGAAGGGCATGTTCACGATCCCGAAACCCTAAACCCTAAAACCCTAAAACCCTAAACCCCTAAACCCCTAAACCCTAAACCCTAAACCCTAAACCCTAAACCCTAAAACCCTAAACCCTAAACCCTCAACACGAACTCCGAAGCACCGAACCCGGCTTCGATGTGCCACAACATGCTTTTATGGCTCGTGGCTCGCGCCCGAGGTCTTCTTCCCTGGTCGCCTGCGTCCGATACTGATGCAGCATCCCGACTGAAGACTGATCAGATTGTTCGTCCTCTTCGTCATGGTCATGATCAGCATCATAGTCGCCTTCGTCACCCTCATCACCACCACCACCCTCATAAGATTAATGACCATCACCATCACAATCATCGGCAACCTATCCTTATTCGTACTCATCGTGACCATCGTCAGCCTGTCATGAGTGGGATGACTCTCGTCCTCCTTCTCGCTGTCATCATCATCATCATGATTATCTCCTCCTCTGCCTCATCTTCATCATACTATCCCCAAAGCGGTAGCGGATAGCGACAGCGGCAACAGCGACAGCGACAGTAATTCAAACAACCAGCCTCCTCAGCCGCAACAGAAGCATGGAGTCCAGTCTTGATCTCCCGCTCTCAGCTGATCCCTAAGGCTCCATGTACCTATATAGGAACCCCTTTAAAGCCTAAGTATATCCTATATGGGCACATGGAGCCTTTGGGGATCTTGTCGGTATTGCGGTTGCCACTGCTCTGCCGCACTTGTAGCGCCGCTGCTGTTTCGGTTGCTGTTTCTGTTGTTGCTGCCGTTGCCGTTGCCGTGGCCGTTGCGTTGCTGTTGTCGTTGCCGTTGCTGTTGCTGTTGCCGTTGCTGTTGCTGATGCTGTTGTTGTTGTTGTTGTTGTTGCTGTTGTTGTAGTTGTTGTTGTTGTTGTTGTTGTTGTTGTTGTCGGTGTTGTCGGTGTTGTTGTCGTTGTTGTTGTTGGTGTTGGTGTTGGTGTTGGTGTTAGTGCTAGTGGTGGTTGTCGTATTGCGTTGTTGTTTGTGTATGCTTTTGTGTTTGCTTATGTGTTTGTTTGTGTTGTTGTTTCTGTGTTTGTTTGTGCGTTTGTTTCTGCGTTTGTTTGTGTTTTTGTTTGGTTGTTTGGTTGGTTGGTTGGTTGGCTGGCTGGCTGGCTGGCTGCTGGTTGGCTGGTTGGCCGGCTGCCCGGCTGGCTGGCTGGCTGGCTGGTCGGTTGGTTGGTTGTTGCTGTCGTTGGTGTTATGCTGTTGTTGCTGTTGCTGTTGCTGGTGGTGGTGGTGGTGGTGGTGGTGGTGGTGGTGGTGGTGGTGGTGGTGGTGGCAGTGGTAGTCTTTCTGCTGTTGCTGTTCTTGCTCTTGTTCTTGCTGTCGTTGTCGTGGTAGTCAGTCGTCGCTGGCAGCGCAACTATCGTGGTGGCCAGAGGAAGTTAAGGTTGTTGGTTCAGCATTTCAGCTTTCGGTTGGCGTAGCAGCAGTAGCAGCAGCAGCAGCAGCAGCAGCAGCAGTAGCAGAGGAGAAGAAGCAGCTGTGGTAGTAGCAGAAGCTATACCCAGACAGTCGTAGGGATCGTCGTCCTCGTCATCGTCGTCATCGTCATCGTCGTCATCGTCGCAGTTGCTGCCACCACAGCTTGCCCTTCAGGAGCATGCGGAGCTGTCGTTTTCAAATCTCTCTTGCGGAATCAGTTACATTCAGTGTGAACCCCCCCCAGCTTGCCCCCCTCACCTTCCTTGCCACACAGTGCATTGTTTCATGATGCATTGCTCGTGATGTTGCCACTGCTCTTGCAGACCTTGAGCTCCGAACCGAATGACCGAATGCTTCTGCCTGGAACAAGCGCCACCACCAAGGTTTGCCAGTGGCTCCTTGAAGCCCGATGTGATGCCCAACGTCCAGCACGCGACGAGGCAAGCCTCGTCCGTCAAGGGTCAAGAAGTTGACACCGTCAAGGCCAGGGCTCAGCTTGGAGCCTTTCGCTCCGATGAAGCATGCAGATGCCTTCCCGTCATTGCCATCAGTCAAGCCACCTTCAACAGATATATGCCAAGACGTAGGACTGCAAGGGCTGCAGTTCAAGCCAAGCCGAGTGAAAGACGTGCTCCGAAATGCTGCCACCGGCTTGTGTCATTCAAGCATACAGCCGTGATTCAAGGTCTCCCCACTGCAGCTTGCAGCCGCTGGGATGCAGATCCGAATGACTGGGGCAGGACGCGATTAACTTCTCAGAGGACACACATGGTGGATAACAACCAACCTACAAGCTAGTGCAAGTAATGGTTTCTCCTAGCAGCACTACCAAAAGCCAGGCTGACGGTGCTGCTTTGTGAAGCAAGCTCGGGAATCCAAGCCTCACCAGATTCGGCCAGACGATACTCCTCTGAGCCAGCTGATGCTACTGTATACAGGAACAGCATGTAAAACACTGACGTTCCTTGCTTTGGGTTGAAGAGAGCATATGATAACATCGTAGCACAGGTTTGGCAAAACCACCTGACAACGAGCCAGTGGTTTGTGCAGGAGGCTCGAGTGTGCTTCGGGCTCATCGGAACATGGAATTCGCTTTTATGATAAAAGCTTCTAAGCAGCTCGCAACCCGAATTACAAGGCTTGATGATGTCTTGCTTACAAGAAGTTTTTGGCCGAAATGTCGCAAGGCAGGGGCCGATGCTTTGCAACGAAACCGCTTCGGCTGCTCCGTGGCACATTGGCTCTCGCAGGCGGACGAAGTGTATGGGAGCTTTTGTCGCTCTCTAGCGAACACGACGAACGCGACCGTGCTGCAACAGAAGTGGACAGTGCCAAGGGTCAAGCATTGTTGCTGCCGTTCCTTTTGCTGTTCTTGTGGGCATGACGGTTCTGTTGACCGCTGAAGAAGAGTCTTGAAAGGGATGATGCTGGGGATGGAGGTGAACATGATGGGGATGCTGAGCGAAGGAGCGAGGGCGCGCTGCGTGAGTGCACGAGTGCGTAAGTTTGATGATGAGGAGCAGGAGGAGAGGCGACGATGGATCTGTAGGAGAGTGTTTCGGCTGCAGTCTGATCACAAGAAAGTTAATCACATGCCGTCATTGTCTCCGCAGGCACCGGCGGAGAGGGCGGGCCAGCCGCCACGCCAGCGCAGCTTTGAGAACGGGTTTCAAGCTTTCGGAAGAGTAGGAGTCGGGTTCAAGGCGCAGGCAGACACTTTGGATACTCTTCCGGCGCTGCGGTAACAGTGCTCCTGCCACTTGTGGGTCATTGCACGGGTTGCCCATTGTGCATTTGTCGTGGAGTGTGTCCTTGAGGGGTCTGTTCGCAAAGCTGTTTCCGACTTGCCTGCTGCAACATGCCCTCTGCGAGGCAAGAAAATTTGGACCCCACAGGCTTCAAGGACCTGAAGCCTAAGGCCTTAACCGTTAACCAATAGATGATATTCACCGCCGCAAAGAAGGAAGGGGACTCTCAAACTAAGCGCCTTAGATCCTGGATCCGTTCACCAGCCGACCGAAGTCGAGCCTCGATTCCTGGATCCAGAAATTCAACTAAGCAAAAGCCGAAATCACAACCCAAGGCTGTTCCAAACTCTACGAACCAACACATCCATTTCCTAGACGATGTGTCTGAGTGGAATAGTCGAGCGGCGACGTTGATAGTCACCAGGACTAGGATCGAACCAGATTATTTGATTCGTCACGTTGGTACCGATAGCAACAGGCAAGACAGCACTGGCTGTCGCAGTAGCCAGATACGTACCACAATAGCCGTGTGAAGCCAGGCAAGGTGCAGCCCTAATCCCTTTGGCGCGCTGGCACGGGCTCCCAGAGACAGAGTCATCTCAAGCCTTGTCACTGCAAGCCCAACTTAGATCAGATTCCACAGCCCCCCACTTGCCGAAAACGTTCAATCTTGAGGCGTTCTTGCATACGGTCACAAGTTGCTTTCCCGTGCCTCCCCTTGCCGAGAGTTGTTGTTGTCTTGCATGCGCTGCATTCAACAAAATCTCCCTAAGGGTTTGCACTTCTGGTCCGGTTCGTTTTTGCAACTCTCAGACTCTGTTGTTTCAGCTTTGCAAGCGGAGTATCCCCACTTCCAGGCTTAAAGCTGTGGGCTGCGACTTCCGAGCCGTGCAGGAGATTTCATCTACTATCGTCAGCCTGTAGGTTGAGTCGTCCAGACGTGGTAAGCAGCGGGCGTGTTCCCAAGGATGCTTTCTGCATCGGCATAGACTGTTCAACAGCAGGTCACTCAATCCTTGGGGTCAATGTTTTTCATACTCACTTGTCCACCTCAGCTGGACGGTCGTGACTGCCGCCGTGGAGGCTTCAAGACGCAACACGACTCCTCCTCGGTGCCTGTTCTCGTTGCCTCACCCCCCGGGACAGGAGCATGGGCATCACTGCTTGCACAAGGCCTGGGGATCTTTGCGGGATATAGTTCCATGTGGAACAGCTCGGCGGTTCAGACACTCGGCCTTCGCTGTGCTGCATAGGCACTCCGCAAGGCAACAGATGAGGCATTCCACCTGATAAGTGCGGATGACCGTCGACTGCTCACCAACATCTTCAATTTACCAGAGATGCCCTAAGCCTGAAACCGTGAATCTTCAGAGCTACAGTCCTACCCAGTTCTTTGAAGACTGAAAGCCTTGGACATGCGAACACCAAACTGAAGCCGAAGGCTGCATGGTCCGGTCACGCAGAGCTTTGCCGCTGGAGCCTGAGTGGAAACTGCAAAGCCGTAGATCATTATCTTGCAAGACGAATCGCAAAACCACAGTATGAGTCTGGCTCAAGTCACTTGCTGTATACTCGGTTGCAAAAAGGATACTGCTAAGCATCAGATCATGGTCGTGGTGGTTCACGGAACAGGCCGCTTTCGGCCGGGCGCCGTGAACCAAAATTGTGTCTGTAGCCAACTAACTCCTAATGATAAACCATAAACCTACACTGAGGTGCAAAAGTTCCCGTAGCTTAAATGAATAACAGAAAATGAAGTGAAAGAAATGTAATGAGTAAGTAAATCGAAGCATGCTTTTATTAACTGAAACGAAGGAAATAGGAACGGAATCAGAGAATAAGAAGAAAGTAATGTGATGTCAGGATACGACCATAGGATAGAAAGTTTCCTACAGGAATTTGACCACCTATCCAAATACAAGAAAAAAGTTAAAGAAACCACAAGCACAGATAACAACCACTAAATCTGCCGGATGTCTCAAGAGGAGGACCTCGTGCTGAAAGCTATTTGCAGCTGCTTGCATTTATCTTGGCGCATTTTCACGCTATGGCATTAGCCGCTCTCGTGAGGCTGGTTGCGGGAGGAGTGCGGCATGCGTGACGACACGCAGGACATGGCAACATTCCATGTCCAGAGTTTGGGCAACGCGAGGGAGCCAATATTCTTCTTGGGGCTTGGTGCCCACAGTTTGGGCATGACAGCCGAAGAAAAATCATGCCGTCCTAGTGCTGAACCCCGAGTTGCACTTGGAAGCTGCAAGGACAAAGCCGGCAATTTTGCGGCTGACCTTGCTGAGATGGCCTGAGCCTTTGAGCGCCCTTCCATATCACCGAGTGTTTGGGCAATAGGGTCTCCCGGCTACGTCTCTGGCTTGGCTTAGCGTCTGGTGTGCATGCATCTGTGATATGTGGTGTGCTTTTTGTGCGTCATGGAAGCTAATTAACACAGACGTGTACTCCAGCTGGGAGCCATAAACGAACGATAGCATTCGCGATGATGACATTACATCTATATCGGCGACAGCAGGACGTGATTTCAAGGAATTTTGCAAAGGTGACGCTGGCAAAAATGACGCTGATTCTGATGACAATGATGGTGACGATGAGGATGGGGGCGAGGATGGTGATGATGATGGGGGAGATGACGATGAGGTTGCGGATGATGCTGATGCTGATGCTGATGATCATATTCATGATGTTCATGATGCTCATGATGTTCATGATGGTGATGACGATGGCGAGGAGGAGGAGGAGGAGGAGTTCGTGGCTGTGGTTGCTGAGTTTGTTATTGCTGCTGTTGTTTTTCGCCACGTTGATTATGGCGAATGTCTATGCTTGATGCTTCATCGCAGGCCAGCGCAGGGTTGCCTTTGAGGTATGACAAAGGCAAGTTCTTGGTTGCATGATGACTGAAACAGTTTTTAATTGATTTTGTTTCGAGGCTGCATGATCATAGAAACAGGTAATTCTCGCATGAACTCGTTGCACTTTCAATTACCGTCAAATGCACAGGCCCACGGCGCCATGATTGATTGATATGGGTTGAATCGAAGACACTAAATGCCCAGGGAAGTGGAGAACGAGTTGGAACTGGGCAGATAATTCTCGATACCTCATCTTGGAGGGAATTGTCCGTCATACTCCTTGGGCGTCCTGGCGCAAAGCTTGGCCGGAAGCCGTTGATGATCAATCAGTGCAGGCTCTTGGGCTCTCTCTGTAGCTCTCCCAAGAGCAAGACGACAACATATTGCATGCAAGTATGTCGCACACTCCGTTCTGAAACCGAAAGTCTGCTCCATCCCAAAGTTTCCCTAGGGCGTGATATGAAGTCACATCCTTCAGTCTTAGGTATCAGTTTCACTACTCTTACCTATTGTAGCACAAACCCAGAAGTTACACATGCGGCGGTCGAAGATCCTATGTGCTGGCGCAGTCGGCACCGCCTTGCTGACCTGTGCGAATCCACGTCAGGCTTTCGCGGCACAGCCTGCACTTAAAGTCAAGACTTACTTGCCGAAGGTGGCTGCCAGTGAGCTTTGCTGCTCGTAGTTGTGGGACTCGCCAAGTGGGCTGTTCTTTTCAGGTAAGCATCCACAGCCTTCACCGCTACCCCGTGAAAAGCTGCCTTGGTGAAGAAATCCCTCGAGCTGAGATCGTCCAGGTCCAAGAACCTGCAGTTTGAGCATTCCGGGGATTACTTCTGCGCAATCCCTCGTCATAGACTTGTGTTTGGGAGCCGCTGTGTGGTGGAAGCAAGGTAAACCCGAGGAAGCTTGACTTCGATTCCTCCAACAGTTTCTGTGAATCACCTTATCCTTGTACCACAGGAATCCTTCTTTTTCAGCCGGAAAGCTGGGGGAGGGACTTCAGAGCTTCGAACTACCACTCGCTGGATAATCCAACTAGATGTTCCATGTTCTCGCAAGAAAGCAATAGATAGATGGTGTTAGACTGCACTCATCGCAGTGGCCTTCTAGCGAAAGGTCTTCAACTGGATCTTAGCATCCGACCAACAGCCGGATGCCCACCAAGCTCGCGTGCAGGAGGGCATTTTGGGAGATCGAACCTTCGTGGTGCCTGGGCTCAACCTGCATGCCAGCTGCACAATGAAGTCGACAGCCATCGTATCATCACAATCATCATAAATGCCGTCAACCACCCGCATCAAAACGCTATCATCATGGTGGTGTCATCTTCTCATTATTCGCCTAATGTCAAGTATGAATATTAATCTACATTGTCACCTCTCGTCCAACCAACCATCCATCCACACATCCATCTTCAGAAGCCAGTGGGTGTCCGATGTTCAAGTGCTGGTACTATGGTAAGTTCCTGTTTATGCACGAGCACTCGTACCGGGAATAATACTACCAGTGGCACCATGAGCAACCCAACCGGGCCCCAACCTGCTCAAAGAGAGAGGGCGCCGATGGTCCAAAAAGCCAAGGTGGCTTCAGAAGCGCGAGCTCTCACACAGCGCGAGGTCGGCCCGCAGTTCTCGCCTTCTTGCGAAGACATCTTGCGACCCGGCTCGACAGGAGCCGCTGCTGTCCACTGTGGCGGCACGTCTCACAGAACGATCCCTGCAGGTTCGGGATGAGACTCGGGTGGGCCTGAGTTCTTGGACGCAGTGGTGGCCATGGTCGCTGAGAGTCCCCGCATCTCAAGTGCGGATAGAGTCATAGACTAACCTGTCCTGTGCAAAACGGCCTTCAGTGTGCACGCAGGCACAACCAAAGAAAGCAAAGCTCCAGCCCTGCAGATCGCCGCCGTAGATGGAAGCCGCGACCTGCTCGAGGCGACCGTTGTACATGGTCATCAACTTTCGGACGTGTCGAATAGTTTTCGGAGGCTTGATCACCCTCGAATCTCCAGCCACTGCTACTGCGGATGCATGCAGCAGTGTTGATCAGTGTGTTGATCACATGAGACCCACGGCTGTGGGGATCCGCGTGCTTCAGTCCAAACATCAACTTGAACGAGTGTGACCTGAGTTTTTCGGGAGCTTCACTGTGCCAGGTCTCCAGTGGCGTCTCGATTGCATTCTGAGGGGATGCATGCGCAGTAGCTGCGGATGTCTCATGCAATGGGATGCTCGCTGTGGAAAGGACTGTACATGCTTCGACGGAAGACCGAGGTGACCCTGGACCCACACTGCAAGCACCAGACTCTGCAGCGCGCCTGTTTGGCGACAATGTGGTGGGTATCGACCAAGGCAACTTTTGTTGGGGAGGTACAAGCGTTGGATTTCCGTCGGACACAGGTTGTCACATAATGGCGTCATTGAATCGGTACAGTGCCAGGTTTCGAACTTTGGAAGATTCGAGTTCTGGGCCCCGAGACGCCGAGAATTCTTTAGGCAACTCGGAGGTTCTGAAGCCCGAACTTGGCCCCTCCGTTCACACTTCTGTTTTTTGTTTCCGGTCCGGCTTTCGGCTTTCTGCGAGAGAGGCCCGGAGGCAGCGGCCTGGCTGTCAGATGTCCTGGGCCGACGCTGCCGGCTGCTGCGACGCTTCGCTGGCTGTCGCCGGCCTTGGAACAGGTTTTTGAGAATTTAAAGGATTCCTGGATGGTTGAAGGGCTTAACTCTGCCTGTGAGGGTGGTGGGTGCAGTAGAGGGAGATCGTGGTCGTGGTAGTGGTGGTGGTAGGCAGCTACTGACGGGCGAGCTTTGGGGGGGCGGCCGAAACGGCTCGTTGTCGAAGCATCCACACAACGCCAGAATCTATCCGCAGCCAAACCCAAACCCCAGAATCCATCCGCGTAGCCAAGCAGCAGCCCGATAAGGCATCCCCGCGCCCCAGAATCCATCCGTGTAGCCTTCTTCCACTCGAAATTTATCCGAATCAACCCAGAACCCAAATCCCCATTCTCGGCTGGAGAACTCGGGGACTGGGGGAGGCCTTGGGGCCTCAGCGAAAAGGCAAAGCTTGTGCGCAATCCGATTTCCGCCCCCGGAAAAATTTCGAATCCTGATGGGGGTCTCAGCAAACATCCAGATAACGCCTACTTGCAAGGTTACCACCACCGCCAAGCATCTGGGAAGCGGAGTTGAGCGGATGGGAGGATATTAATTTCATCTAGACGCTGAAGCCTCTGCGGAATTATTTGACGATGAACTGTAGTATTCAGGCATAACTTTCCATCTGGAGGGTAGCCGAAGCGCGCATTTGAACACTCTTCTATTCGTCTTGCCCCGAGACCTTCGACAGGCAAACGCACTGCGGCAGGTTCACATTGGTTCCAGCCTGAGTTGGGTAAACGGATCCGGACGGTCAGGACTTAGACTTACTCCCTGCGTTGTGGTAGAGGTTGGTCAAGATGAGTGCACGTCATGGCAGCCAAAGCTCGAGCTGCGATGTTGGCTTGATGGCGCTACGCGATATGACTGACAAGCATGTTCGGATTTGGCAAGTAAATGCGTAGAGCAGCCAGCAATGCCACAGACATTACATACGTTTCCCGAAGGCAGACACTGGTTTTCCAGCTCAAGCTAGTTGATACAGCCCCAGCCTACACGAAGGGCCAAGCTCGTTGCAACAAATCCCTGCTGCAGGGCTGACATTGCACCGTTGCTGGTAGTGCTGCTTGGCCTGACAAGATCTGTAAATCTGGCATCGACGGCGTGCACAATTGAGGTTCTGAGTTAGTAGATAATGCTGTTCGCTGGGCGGCTGCAATTTGCAACAATGTCAATAGTGGGTATCTCGTGGGCATATGATAAGGGTCTCAAGGTTAGGGACCCATACAAGGGGCCCGTGGTTTCAACCTTAGAACTCCGCGTAGTAGACTGGAATCGAGTCTCCTAGCGCTTTATTCTTTGGACCGCCCATTCTGCCGTTCATGTTCCCATGATTTGTGGGATTGAGGGTGGCATGTTCGAGGATTCGAGGATGTCGTGGTAGCTCTCGTGCTTTGCTTTGCAGCTGGCCGTGGCGGGAGGTCCAAAGCGTCACTCCAGGCCTTGGCCGAAGCTACGGGCAAAGAGATACCCGCAGAGACTTGGCTTCTTTGGTTGCCTCAGGTAGATACATAATGTACAAACTAATGCAAACATAAACGCATGCCGAGACCGAAGACACGCTGGTGTAGGCAAGGGGAAGGCTGTGGTCCCGGCCTAAGCCAAAACCCGAGAAGCCTTCGTGCCGCAGAGCTCTGGGACACTTCAAAAGTGGGCATAGCCCGAGTTCGACGCATCGGCTAGAATACTTCGAAAAAAAAAGAAAACATGTGATACAAACCTTGAGCTAGAACAGACCTAATCACAGCAACAAGAAAGCAATAAGCTGCCCAAGGACCGATTTCGGCCGAATGTAATCCTCGAGGGCCCCATGGAGCCTCACGCAGAGGCCGGGGATGAGTTTTTGTTTTGAACTCTGAACAGGAACTGCGTGCAGGTTGTGGATTTTGCGCATGCTTACGCTTAGGCCACAGACTTAGCCAGAAGGCAAGCTGCAGAAGGGTTTATGAAGCCACTGTCTCGTTTCCTAAATTTCAAGTTGCTGGATCTTGTCAGGACACGTGGGATGAGATGTGCATTGGTCGTGGCCTCAATGCAGGTGTCCCTCAGGCCAGAGGCCCGAGGCATCGACAGGGAGACAGGCAGCATCGGCTTGGCTGAAATCTTTACGACCTGGCGCCTAGCGCTATTTGCGAGAAAGGTCCTGATGTTTCAGATCGATGCTTTTCGCATCTTCCGGGCCCTTGAGTCGTAAACCCGACGATTGAAGCCTCCCAGAAGAGGCCCTCTGCGTCTGCAGCGCTTGGGCCCCTGTGCACGCTGTGCCATCATCGACGTGGCGCAAGGACAAGGAAAGCGCCCGGAAGCCCAGACCGAGCATTTTGGTACTGTTAGACTATGCCGGAGCTACTAGCCAACGATGCTCATCGGCTCAGAGCCTGTCTCGGAAACTGTCGGAAGGCGAAGCTTTCATTCTGGCACTGCGCCCAGGTGACAATGCCGTGTATGGGCCGCTCGTACAGCACCGGGGTCAGGCCGTCTTCGGCCAGTGCGCCGCTCCCACTCAGGCCCTTCAGGCTTTTCTTTTCCCTCTTGCGCTTTGAGGTACTACCGGCCCATCCTTGCAGCGGGTGCGCCGCCCTCTGATCGGACACTGGAGGTCGGCACCGAGGTCGAGATCGCTTGAGAGAAAAAGGAGGCTCTCACCCTCGGCCCTCTTCGGGGGGGGGAGGAAAATATGGTTGAAGTTCTTCAACTGGATGACTTCATCCCAAGGCCGGGCACGCCTCTTTGGCGACTTGGCTCCGCGACGAATGCGGCGCTGCACGTGCCGCGAGCTGTCGGAGGCCCTAAAGATCTCCCGACGAGTTCTGAGTCCACAAGCATCATCAATCCCATCAGTGATGATCGGGAGGAAGTGTTGCCGATCCTGGCGGTGAGGATGCTGATGCGGGTGACGAGATGATGTGTGGGAGGACGGAAGCACATTTCTCAGAGCCGTTTGAGCTCTGACCGAGGTCTCAAACTGGGCCTCCGCGAGGCTCTCGGACCCGCAACACATTCGGATTTTTAGGACCGTTGGGGACAGCAGATCTTGGCTCTACCGGGTTCTTGTCAAGCCATTGTGTGTCCGCCCGTGTTCGAGTTCCGCCAGTTAATTTTGGCTGGCACCATTATTGGAACCAGTTGCCCGTGTTGTTGGACTCGCAGATTCCACCGCAAAAGCTCTCCCGCTTCCCTCCTCGTGATGTTTCAACCTGTCAGGATGCTGACCTTCACACGATTCGGCAGGCTGACAGCATGGGGGGCTAGGCTGAGCATGTTGGCCCCGCATCCAGAGACTGAGGGCTGCAGTGCGGAGGAACTTTCCTCACTAAGTTTTAGTGCAGCCTTCGTGAGATGTCTGAAGCTTCCAGTTGAAGACGCCGTTACTTGACAGACCATTTCATGACGTGTTTCGGATGTTTGGGCGTCAAGGCGTGTTCGAATATGGTTGTATGTTGTCGCAGCCTGCTGTGAGACGCACGGACACGCCCATGCACACATACCGACCTTCTGAAGAACTCGCTCTGGCTCTACATCTACTTTCGCAAAACAAGCTTGGTAAACCTGATTCAAAGTCGATCCTTGATGCGGAACGATACCACAGAGAAACGATGTGCGGCTTCAGAGAGCTTCCAGGCCTACCTCCGTTTGGCCCGCGAGGTGCATCCAGACTTTTGGCCTGCAGTGGAACTAGGCGAGACTGACAAGATGCAAAGGATTCGGCTCCTACAGTTTCAGTTTGCAAATGTTCGCTACTTTGTAGGGTCCTGCCTGATTCTCATTCTGTGCGTCGCACAGTTCCTATTCGGCGCACTTTATCTGTAATCCTTTCTGCATCGAATCCGTCAAGCACGCCTTGAATGGCGTACTGGTCTGAGAGTTGCCTCAGGGACACCATTCTTTGCATTGGCTATCCTGCTGCTGCTTGGTGACCGCGCTTTGTGATGCTTCCCGCCGTGTAGTTTCGATGTTGTCTAGTGTCTGCTGTAAATAAGCCATCTAAGGCCCTGGCCGCCAATTCCCGAAGCACGCTTTCTGAGGATGGCCGCCCTGGCTGCTGCCAAAGCGTCGAAGAGCCCTTTCGTCCAGAAGAGGGCTTAAAGGTTGAAGGTAGCTTCAGGTTTGCTAGCTGGGACGTTCGGATTCCCTGTCTGATGCTTTTGGACACTCTCAGACTCTTTTGATCTATGCTGTTGAGTTGCTTTTAAAAAAGGGGGTTGGAGAGAGGAAGATGCCATCGTTGGAATCTAGCAGGCCGTGGCCAGACTTGTCTCGACACAGCCCCCCCAGCAAAATGGGAGTGTCAAGGCGCCGATTAGGACAGAAATTGAAATTCTATGTGACCACCCTGACCGAAAGCCACCCCTCCCAACCATGCAACACAGCCAGCAGCAAGAAGAGCGGCTGAGTGGGATTTGTATCCCAAGCGCGAAGTGTTTGATGAAGTGCCGTGTCGTCAGAGCAGGGAATCCTTCAATGAGCAGTGGGACGGTGGTTGAACGTAAATTTGGAGATTTGGCCAGCATCCCACTCCTGCCAGCAACAGCAGTAGCAGTAGTCGTCGCCCTCGCCTCCAACTGCCCTCGTCGTCGTGGTTATCTTCGCCGTTGCAGGAGGGTGGGGGGCGGGGCGGGGCGGGCACAAGCGCCAGAGGGCGGGGCACCTCAGGACCTCTTCTCCCGAAGAACTGAGAACAGGCATTGTGATTCTCTGCTGCAGGTTCGCGGCTCTGCACGTCCCCCCGGCAGGATTTGGAATGTACATGTGTTACATATCTCTGTACTTGGCGCACATGATTGAGCACTGTACAGACGCGTGTTGGGAAATGTTGTTCACTCGCCGAGATGTGTCACTTTTTGCCCCGTTTTGCGGCTGATCACATCAAGCCATCTCTTGTAGCCATGAAAGAGCCAGGCTGCCTACCACCACTTGACGAAGCTGGGGGGTCGGGGCGGGCAGACCAACCCGCGCCACCAGGCACAGCTCTGCGCGTTCAGTTTGAGCCTGCGAAGCTCATCTAAGCCCGTAAGACTGCTGGGCGGAAGGAGCGGCTGATGCTCACATGGGACGGTGCAGTGAGCCATGGCATGGAGGGCGAACGCGAACGGTTTAAGCCACGCACTCAGAAAGATCGAGCTCGCTATGCTTGTCATTCAGTTTTTTCTGCTTACACTGAGCATTGGCTCGATTGCATCTTGCCCGTCCCAGCTTGGCTTTGCGGAGTAAGGCACCACCTGAGTTGAGCGACATACACTCGATTAGATTCCGATTTCAAGCGTCTCACTTTAAACATTTCCTAACTGCAAAACAGCATGAAGTGCTCCAAATCCAAGTGCGAAGCAGCCAGGGAAAGGGCCATGCTATGAGGAACACGCCCCGGCGCACAGTGCGAACGAAAAGGTTGAAATCCCAAAGGACGAGGTCTAAGTTGCAGCCTCGGACACTGCAGGGCACGTTTGCTGACCGTCGTTGGTGAGCCGGGAACCCGGGAAAGCACGGCAGCTTCGTGTGGTTTCGGGTTGTTCTAAGAGACGGTTTTTCCTTAGTTCAGGCCGTAGCGTTGTCCGTTGAGGGCCTGAAGGTCCAAACCTAGGTGATGCCCAGAATCAGTTGAAGCATGCAATGCCAGTACTCGCATAAGGTCTCAACATTCCAGAGACCATGTGCAAGTCAGATACTGTGAATGGAAGAGATCGATTCTGCATGTTTCAAGTTCGGTCATCCATTCCAGATTCACTCCATGCAGTCATGCACACGCTGGCAAGTGGCTTTGCGGAGTGCGCGTCGAATCCACTACATCAGAATGCTGACACAAGCCCTGCAATCTCTGCTTCATTTCTGCATGTCTCGCGCCACAAGCCAGGTTTGGGGACAAAGGCTTCCCGGTGAGTTCGTTAAAGAAGAAGTACGCGCAGGCTGCAGAAGCGTGTGTGTGCCCGGGGACCGTAGCTGGAACATGACTTGGTGAACGGCTCTCTGAGCTTTGCACTCCGTGAGCTCCTATCATTGCATTCTCAGGTCTCGAGGTGCCTCATGATGCCTCAAGGTACAAGCTGGCGGGTTCTAGTAGGCTAGTTTTACATTTGGCAGGAAACCTGCCGCGATTGCAACACTCAACCTTAATGACCTCAAAATCAAGCTCGAGCACCGGAGGTCTTCGCAGGGGCGGCGGCCAATGGCATGTTTTCCCTGCTGTAGATGTAGGTGGGCCTGAATCCGTTGTCAAGCTCCATGTCCCGAGATCGTTTAAGCATGTTTCAGCAAGAACTAAACAGAGCAAAACCCAAAGACGGCACTCGCAGCCCAGCGCTTTTGTCCCAGCTTCATGCCCAGAGTCGTTTAGTTCGACAATTCTAGAAGTTTTCCCAGTCGAGTCTGTGTAGGGTGATAACGCAGCACTGCTTCTGCGAACAACGACGACTGCCCCTGCCTTACTGTTATTGTTATCATTTTTGTTGTTGGCGGTGGTGGTGACCTTGTACAGGATGTCGGATAGGAGCTGGTTGTCCAGCAGCGTGGAGGTGCTTTGGTGTGCCGTTGGTCGAGCGTCATCGGATGTGACGTATGAGGACTTGCTGCATACATGATGGTCATTCAACCAGAAAAAGCGCATACGACCCCCTTCCGTTGTCACAAGCTCAGCTCGTACGCACGATCAAAGATCGTAAGGCGCCAGTGCTCAAGCTCCTGGCGCTTGTATCTTTTCGGTCTTAGGCAGCTTGGAGGCTTGGACTTTTCAGCTCTGGCGAACGCCAGGCCCTGCCCGCACCGAGCGCCTTTGGCCTGCGGAAGAGTTGCGGCCTCCTTGAGTGGCACGGCCAAATAAAGACTTCAGCACTAACTCTGAGTTTTTGGTGCTTGTGATTCAAAATCGGAGTTGTGTTCTTGGAAACATTCTCGGCATCCGAACTATCAGTCGAACACTCTCACTATTCTCCTCGGCAGAAGTTGGATGTCTCGTGCACTCGTTCGTCAAGGCTAGCTGTTCAGCAAAAGGTGCAGGAGTAGTTTATGAGGGCGACAGCTTCTCAGCCGCAGGAACCAAAGCATCTACAGCAAGTTGTCACAGCAAGAGCAAGCTTGGTATTCATAAGTCGCTGGAAGTCGTAGAACGAAAACATACCCTGTGGTGAGCACATTGATCAAGATCCAGAGCTAGTAATGCAGCAAAACAATAGCTCTCCTCCACGAACAATTCGCCCACAACCCGCAACCTCTTCAACAACCACGACGATAGGAGCGGCAGCATCAGCAGCAATGGCAGAAACAAACTAGCAACGAAAGCAAAGTCAGTCGAGTTATGATCGCCTCCCATGAGCACTAGCTGTGAGCTGAGCGCGGCTTGAGTTCTTGTGACCAGTCAACACTGATTCAGACGGCTGAGTCCGGTTTCTCGTTCTCACCCCAAGCCAGAGCCCTGCTGTTAGCTATGATAACTGTGTTCCTCTGGAGTCCAGCCCAAATCATTTGAAGATAACAAGCTGCGCACCCCGCTTGCAGAGCAATGTATCGAGCTTCTTGCAGTGATTTTTACGCAGACCCAAGCAGTCTGACAGTCTGACTCATGAGCCTTATGCTAGACGACTGTGGGCTTTCAGAGGACTTCATGCTCCACACTGTTCTTTGGAGGTTGCTGCGGACGGTGGCGAGCGACGTAGTCCACATCGAGCTGGATGCAAATGGTAAGGACGGCAGCAGCAGCTTTGCTCAGTAAGTTGTGTCTGGAATCAAAACCTTGTGACGTTGCTGAGCTGTTCAAAAGCTTTTCCAGTACGCTTACTGGCTTCAGCAAGCCTTAGAGCCAAAGTCCGGCCGGAAAACGGCCAAGCATTAACCCACCTCGCACCACCAACAAAGCCTCAAAAAATATGAGCTGCCCTGTTTGGCCAATCGAAGCAGGAGCCGTTGCTGCGTGCCATTTGCGGCTACAATAGCCGCCCAGCCGACAGCGCAGAAAAGTGGGTCGCAAAGCTTCAGCCTGAAGCCGGTCTGTGACGGATGGCAGAAGAACATTCTACGACTCTTGCACGCTTGATCTTCGTTTCAATGACTCGGAGCTTGACAGCTTTGGCTGAGAGGAGGTTGAAGCGCATGGGACGCATTGCCAGGCAGAGAATCTCAATTTGCATCACCTCTCCATGGTCCCGCCCCCCAAGTAGCTCGAAGTTTAAGTCAGCGAGCGGCTTGCTGCGGTAAAGCGCAGATGCATTCTGTTTCAAGATTCAGCAGTTACACCTGAAGCAGCACGGCTACTCTCAACAAGCCATGCCACTGGAGGGGCGACAGGAGCCTGCAGCCTGCCTGATGCATGAGTCGCTGAGGGATTGGGAACGGTGTCACGAGCTCCCACGCGGGCTGTTCGTATCTCCCGGAGGTTTGTCAGCCAGCAATATGATCCCTTCCATCCGCAGCAGACTTGCGATGACTTGCCCAGCGATCTGAGATGTTCAGAGGATCTCATGAAGCTCCTGCGTTCCGGGGAGGTGGACGAGGCATCCATCCTGCCTGGTGTTGGCTGCAACATGCTGCAGCTCTGCGCTTTAGTCTTTCTAGCCCTCCCTGAGGCTGCTGACAGTCTGAAAGCCTCCACACTTAAGTTGTTTTGCAGGGTTTCGTCACTGCTCACCTTCCCTGTTCTAACTAAGACCAGCAAATGCTGCAGGAAGATCTCTTGGAGTGCCTTCGAGATGACGTCAGAGGGCGCGACCCCTTGGAGGCATGCGGGCCACGAAAAAGAATACAGCGCAAGCGAGCATCAGAGGAGCTTGGAAGTGTGGAGGTGTTCTGCAAGATGGCGTCCGTCAATTCCTACATAATACAGTAACGGTTGCATTGCACGGCATGGAGGATCTCAACTCGAGTCGCCTTTTCCTGTTCACTCAGATGATGCAGCTGCGCGAACATCCAGCATCTAATTACATCTGAGTTGCGCAGGACAAAGGAGATCATGCTGCACACCAGAAGGACAAGGACTGGCCCGGCACTCGGACGCTAGGGCTGGGAGCTAGGGACCCGCTGCTTTTTGAGCCGAAGCCGACGCTTTGCTCCGTTCTCCGGTCTCAGGTGGACGCCTTTGCACTGGGCGGCCCAGGACTTGGGGCCCTTCGGGGTCCTTCGGGGGCCCTTCGGGGCTTCGTCTCCATGCTCTCACGTCTCGTCTTTTCGACACGTCTCCGTCTCCCCGTCTCCCCGTCGTGTCTTCGCTTTTTTGGCGAGGATGGCCACGAGCGCTTGGTCGAGAAGCTCCTCGGCCTCCGTGTCAGCACCGCACCCAGACGCTCAGAGCAAAGAGCCCTTCCGCTCTTCGCTTCGCTTTCGTCGCGGTTTGTCAATGCCAGAATTCCGCAGACAGGCACCAACGCAGCCGACATCTGCGGAGCCACGCCTCTGGCAGGGGTCCTAGTGATCCTGTTGACTGCTGGTGATCGCAGAGATTCTGTGAGCGTCCGCGTCATGCACGCATTTGTTTGCTAGCACCGTTGCTTGTTGCTTCCGGGGATGCTTTGCTTGCTACTTCAATGCGGTTGCCTTGGCAATAAAAGTACTTCCATGGTAAGCGTACTCAGCTAGCAATCGTAGCATGGCATTCGAGTCCTTGACATAGCATTCGTGTTCTCGATATTTGTATCACTGCTTGTCGTAGTCGCATTCGTAGTGCTTGTACATTTGCTAAAATACAGTGGGGAGTCAGTCATCCCGAAGAGGACCTAAACCCTTCCCAGTGCGCTCCAGGTTCAGTGCTTCCCCAAAACATTCCAAAATATGTCCGCAAGCATTACAAACCATGCCCATCCCCGTTGCAGGAAATGGCACCCGAAAGTCAAGGCCATACAGCCCACAGCTTCCCGTCAGGTCTGAGGTGCCAAGGTCTGGTCGTCAATAAGTGGCATGCAATCACAGACAGTCTCAATGGCAATCACTTGCACCACGAACAACAAGTAGTAGCAACGAATGGATGCTTGGATGCCCTTGCCCGGGCTGTTTTGGACCATAATTAAGACTGTATACGGCGCTTGTGCTACTAATGATGCAGCAGTCATGGTTCATGAGCATCACCGCGATGATTATATTGGTCCTTTGGGTCGTTTTCGTAGAATTCCTTGGATGTTGTGCGGCATGCACTGGACTCAGATGATCGCTGCCTTCAATGGGCGGACGCGGATTATCGAGGCATCCCAGCCACAAGCGAGAAAGAGAGAGCGAGAGGCAAAGACACGGCAGCCAGCAGCCAGCTCAGAATTTCCGGCCAGAAGTTCGGACAAGATCGCAATCTTCAGAAAGATTCCCAAAGACCTTGACCTTCCTTGAAACCAGGCTTTGCTTCGTGATCGGTCCACTGATGTGCGGCAGGTCCGACAGCCTCGCTGTGTTGCCTTTCGCCTTCTGGTGACCTTCAGAGTAATCACGACCATGACGATGATCAAGACGATGATGATGCTGATGATGCGGAATACAGCCAGACAAACTCCAGTTTTCGCACCACCAGTGCTATGATCCTTCTGCATCCGACCTTGGCGATGTCGCACTTACCGCTCTAGCGGTCACAGTGAGAGTCCAGGTTTGTGTAGAAATTTCGCACTGCTTTAGAAGGTTTTTTCGCTATTGAATGGCACGAAAGTAGAATAAACTCAACTACACCCCAAACCCCTGATCACACCCTCAAGCTACCTATGCATTTGGCACATATCACATCACGGGATAGTGGCACCCTTTTTCACGACTTCCCCCTGGCTCTGCCGGTGAGACCAACAAGTACCTTGGCACTGCGCTCCACTACGCTGCGCAACGTGGTCACGCCGGGCCCCAAGCGCAGCACAAGGAAGCTGTGGAGAAAACTCAAATTGAGGCGACTGGCCCATGAAAGCGAAAGCAGCCATTCTGGTTTGTCTTGTGGTGCAACGCCCGAATTCCCGAATTCACTCTGAAGAACCAGCGATCGACATCTGCCTCTGCATCAAGTCAGAAAGCCCCGAGTCGGCCAACGAATGCAAGTGACCAGCGACCCGAAGCACTGCTGTGAAGTCTCAAAGCTGCACACAGATGATACCGAGTGAAGATACGAGGACTTGCCAACATGCAAGACACATGCTATGTTCAGCAATCATGCTACGAAACTCTATCACAGTTGTTTGAGCAAACGAACAGCTGCAGGGTAATGTGCGAGATTGTAGAGTTCATCACGATCCTGTTACGTACCTGTTACCTCATGTCCTCCCGAATGCTTAAACTAGCCCAAACCCGCCCTCAGCCCACCTGAATCCAAGAAACGTGCTCCAGGCTGCCGCCGTGGAGCTTCTCATCGACGCCCGGGCCGAGGTCTGCCGATCTGGTTTCACTTCTGGACCTTGTTATTTATCCTCCTTCAGCATACAGTCCGAACTCTGAGACAGTGTAGGCGCCGGTCCTGCGAGTAGAGCGATACTGGCATATGTAGTGTCGTTCTTCCTTCTGGTGTATTGCAGTTTCTGCTTGTTCATGCATTCCTGTCGGAGTTTGTTTCGGAAGCCATTGATCCAAAGCCCTGGCGGGAGATCTACCCAACCTACCCCGCCTACCCCACAAGACGAAAACCCTAAGGAGCGAATCCAGCGAGAACCTTGCACCCACAACGAAAATCCTGAATGTATCTTGTGTGACGGTTCTGGTTTGGTGCAAAGTACGGCACAAAAATTGTGGTTTTGTGCTCAATACACCAGAAAAAGTTAGTGGCTTGGTGCTAAAGACACCCAACAAAATTGCAACTAAGATGCCTGTTTTGCAACCCATTGCAGAGATTTGCTGTTTGGGGAGCCGGAAAAACTGCAACTCAGTCATTTTTGCTGAAAAGCTGGAAAGTTACATCTACGAGACAAAAGTCATAACTAGTGTTCTGCCGTCTGCAGCCCGGTCACTCAGCCCTCACATCCAGTTGGTCAATCCTGCAGACAAACCTCGATCAATGCAACTTCCTATGCCCGTAAAGGCCAGCAAGAGCCAGCCATGCCAGTGTGGCAAAGCGATGCATAGCATGGATTACTCGAGACGTCTCGTTTCGAGCAGATCAAATCCGAAGCCCGTTTCAAGTGCCAGGTCAATGCTTTGGACCGCCACAGCGACAGCCCCCTGAGCTGGGCAGCACGTAGTGGCCACCTGGATGCGGCCAGGGGCTCAAGCTGCAATGGTTGGGGCTGACATTCAGGTGTCAGTGGTTCAGATGTGGAAATCCATGAAGCATAGGCTCACAGCACGTTGGCGCTCAAGGGAGCTAGTGAGACGAGTAACAGGGGAAACAGCTCAACTCTTTTCGTTCGCAACATGTGGACTGCAGTCAAGGGCGCTCTCTCCACGTTATGTCCGATGCACCAGCATGCCAACCGATCTGCAACATGTCAAGGGTGATGTGATGCGAGCGAAAGGATTACTCATGGAAAGGACAGAAAAATCTCCGAGTTGCACATAGTTGTTGAGTCAGTCTTTTCTTGTGTGCAATGTGTTGCCAATCCCTCTGCCCGTAGTTCAACACGTGCACGCGCAACAATCGGGGATTCACAAAGATGCACCATGGCTTCCTTAGGCAAACAGCAGGCTCTCTCAGTTCAGTAGCCCCAGCAATAAGCTTGGATTGACCACTTCATTCACATAGTAGGGCTTCCATCTACTGGAACGATGCCCGTCAAAATGCAGTCACAGTTACCAGCGCTTACCAACCTGGATCCTGTCCTCAGCACTGAAGGTGAAGAAGTTGGTGGAGAATGATGCGGATCCACTTCTGGACTGGACTATATACTTCTGGTTGTATCACCTGTCAATGAATGCACCAGCAAGCCGGATGATAGCCGCAACCGCCGCAGCAAGGTGATGATAACACAATCGCTTGAAAGATGCTCTCTTGGAGGAAGCATCACACGGAATGTTCGACCAACTTCATACTGTGAAACCTGTAGCCACACAGCCTCACGAACACTGCAATGGTCTAGCGTCCCGGCATGTTATGACACCATTTCTTCGGAAGCCTGTTCGCACGGTCAAGCTACATCCGACAGAGCAAAGTCCAGAATCACCGATGCGAAATCGTGCTTGACATAGTCTCGCGGCTCTATCCAAACCTTCGACACCATCTAGAACCCCCCGAGGCATAACTCATTTGCTAAAGGGCCTGCCGATTGCACCCATGGACTCGTGGCATAGTGGGAATTGCGTAGTAGCTCTGCAGGATAACAACGCCAGCGAAGATCCCATCGAGCTTGCCAAAGGCCCCGCGGAACGTCCGGGTGCAGAAAAATCGCCGCCGGCGAGCAATACTTCAGCAGTGGTTAGCATCTCCTTGCCTATAGACGTGTAATATATTGGTGTCTACATTCATACATACATAAGTACATATACACAGATACGTTTATATTTATTTATATACACATACATACATACATACATACATACATACATTTTTCCATTTGCGTGCGGGAGAGTCTTGTACAGAAGCGCGCCTATGCAAACAAAACTATGAATTCAAGGTGAAACAGCGGAAGCTCATCCCGGGGAGCGGAAGCCGGACTCCTCACATGCAAACCCGAGGGCTTCGAGCCAGCTCTGCAAGGGTGGCAACGCCTTCCAAAGTCCAAGGCAGTCTACCAAAACTGGCCCTTCTTGGGCCTTAGCTGCGCAGCGGGCAACAACTGTACATGCTGCCTCAGCCCACGTGACAAGCGCATTAGCATCTCGCAGGGAGACACTGGTAGGATCGTGGAGCGACATGCAGACTGCTGGGGGACGTTCGAGAGAAGGCTGGAAGGGGGCGCCGGAGAGGTCAAAATCCAATCGACCAGGCAGACCCCAGTTGGGCACCAAAAAGGGGGCGGTCTTGACGGCCTTGGTGGCATCAGGAAAGAAGTCTGCAGAGACTTCAGGGTCGAGGAGCAGCAGCATATTCTCGGCAACCTCGACATGCCATTCACTGCCACGGTGTTGGTCTCTCCAGTGAATGACAGTAGCCCTTAGAACGCTTAACGGTTCTATATAATCCTCAATGCATTGCCAAACTTCTTGTCGAGCTGACTGAGTAGGCCAGGGGAGATGCCTTGGCAATCAGCAGCGACGGGAATTGGCCTCCACGTGCCCTGCTCGAGGAAAGGAGGTGCAAGAGGGTGCACTTCCGTTGTTGTCGTAGAGCTGGCCCGCTGAAAGGAGCCCCATCCCTTAACACAGGCCGGCACTACTGTTAAGTGGCGTCTGAGCCTTCCAACTGATCCAAAATTTTTACCACAGCACAGGCACAAGTTGCCAATTGCCAGTGAGGTAGGCACTGCTTCTGTATCCGTGCATGCGGGCTGCATGGCCCGCCCATGCCACTTTGCTCCTAAAAGCCCTACGACATGGCAAGCACAGGTCCGTCAGGGGTTCTTCTTGTAGGCGGCCGAGGCAAGGCCGTCCACCACTGACTGCACAGAGGGCGCGATGCAGCTGATCAAGAGCAGCCACGAGAGATATCCTGCATCCATCGAGGGCACAAGCTCGTTTTACCAACCCCTTGTAGCAGCCGGGCTGATGCTTCATGCACTGCCACCATAGACTCCAATGCTGGTCCGGGTGTTGGAGTTCTGTTGTGGCGTGTGTCCACTGAAACAGCCAGCGTAGATCAGTTTCAAGCATCTCGGCATATTCACGATCGCTGCGTATTGCGGCCCACAATTGAGGAGGACCTGATTGAACTAGCTGCCTAAGATATAAGACAACCTGCAGCGTCGGAGGATAGTATCGGGGTTGTCAAGGCGTGCCAGAGCGCAGCAAGACAAGGCGGTATAATCTTGCTCTCCGCCTCTAGGGATACAGAGGATGCCGCTGTAGAAGGCCCATATTGTGGCATCAAACGCATGGCGGTCTCGGTTCACAAGGGCCGGCCAGGAGCCGGCCCCCTGCAAAAGACGGGAAAGCACCGTTGACTGCAGCAGGACCGCCTTGCGTCGGAGGCTGATGGCACGATTTTTGAAAACTTTCCTTTTCGCCTCTTGGAACGCCGCTTTGGCCTGTGAGATGCGATATCGTACCTCGTGGGCGACCATGCCAAGCGGAGCTTGCATGGTACCTAAGTGTTTATATGCAGTCACAAGGGGTACTGCGATGGGAGAAGTATGTTCTCGAAGAATCTTAACATGCCCATCACATGCGAGAGGATTGAAAAGCTGGTGCTTGGCAGCACGGGAATTCGCACCGCAAATCGACGCCACAACTGCAGTCTTATGAGGTCCGAACGAAAGGCGCATCCCAAAGGAGCTAAAAGCGTCGGCCAACGTCCCTGCTTCTGTTGCGATTCCTGCTCTAACACTGTCGGCGGTGCGACACCATCGAGGGATGGCAAGGTCGTCGGCCCACGCCACCTCGGAAACCGTGACGGAGGAGCGCGAGTCCTCGCAGGTGCACGCCTTCAAGACAAACTCCCCGTCCCACGGAAGAACAGGGGGCGCATGAGTGCTCAATGGCCGAACTGCGGAGGGCATCACGAAGTGTCAAAACTCTCGGGATCAGAAGTGCGAAAACTACGTCTGCAAAAGCCGATCCCGGCCTGGTTCCCCTAAATGTCCTCACCGGAACGACGTCGTTCTTGAGGATAAACCAGTTTCCGCTAGACATCTTATCGGCCAGGGCTTCAAGCCATGCGTTGGATCCAGCAGTATGCATAGCCGAGTCCGCTTGCAAGTGCGCACGGATGTCGGCCACATCCTCTGCAGTGAGGTTCAGCTGACCAGTAATGTTTGCAAAGTCCGGATCCGACATTGCTGCATGAGGCGATCAACTGTGTGATCGCCCCGTAGAACGCCGACGCGATGTCTGCGAACACAAGGAAGCTGGGCCTGCGCTGAAGAGATGCAATGCGAGTGACGCACCGGGCCAGATGGGCCCCAAAGACCACACTGCAACCAGTGCGCCCTCCCATTTGCAAAGGCGGCGCCGTCCTTTCGAAAAACCCCTTTAAAGGGGGGCCTCAGGCACTGGTGTACCGATTTGGCCATACAGGACAAGAGCAGCACTGCCCTATAAGAAGAGCAGTCGCTATACGCGCCTCGTTTCTTATGAAAGAAGACGGAACAGCCTCCTTTCCACCCCACCACTTCCTGTCCTAGCCACACATGTTTGAGGGCCAGCGGGTGCAAGGCGGCGGCCAGCTCAGGCGAGAACGTCTTACACAGTTCGGGCGGCAGCGCATCAAAGCCCGGGGCCTTCCCGAGCTTCGCCGAGGCTAGAGTCCTTTGCAAGAATGCCTCCGTTGGGGCGCAATCAGTATCCTCAGGATGTGGCCAATGCTCCTGCTGTGCGCCAGAAGTGGCGAGCGCCTCCTCAACGAGGGCCAGCACAGATGTGTCTCGGCCGGCTTCGGGCCGCGAAATGGCTTCGCCATCGCTCGAGAAGCTCGCCTTGATCCGAACAGACTGCGCCATCAGCCTTCTTGATTCCTGGGAGTGGCTCTAGCTGGAACGGTTTCTTCCTCTTGTGTCCTAAGAGTCTGTGGTAGGCTGCATACATAGCTCGAGACGACCCATTTTCAAACTGTAGGGCGAGGTCATTGGTATATGCATCTCGGTCGGCACGGCAGGCCTCGCGCAGCGCCTGGCCCGCGACATTTAGATGATACACCCCAACTACAAGAAGAAACCGGACCTGATGCACCCAGCGGTTATCAAGAAAGGCTTCTTCGAAGCTGGTAGCGGAGCCTTGCCACACTTTAAAGGCTACGGCCAGGCGGTGCACTGCAAGCAGGTGTTGCCGATGATGCACAGCACGCCTGATACCGGACACTTGACGTTGGAGGGCCCACGTAGCATCGCGCAGATAATGCTGCCGGGGCTTTTTCCCGCAAGTGGCGGCCAGACGTGTAAGGCCCTGCTGCAAATGCGAAGTGATAAGTGCAGCGTGGGCGTGAGAAGACACTTCCCAAGGAACACTGGGCATCGAGGCAATGATGTGGCGTATGGCTGCAGCATTCTCTGGAGCTAAGATGTCTGCAACTCTGATTTTCCTTCGGCGGGGCCCAGTTTGCTTCGCACGCAGCTGGAAGCAGACACACGCATCGACCACCGTAGCTGTGTGATCCTGATTGACATGGGCAGCGTGGATTTCCGGGTCAGTCCACGATAGGATTTGTCCTTTGGCCCATGCCTCGGGCAGCAGCACGTAGTCCGGGCGGCAGAGTTTTCCGGACT